TATGAATATATTTACTTATAATTAGACTTCTTATTAAAGTATAATAAACTTTTTAATAACCGCGATATAAAGAATAAAGCTAGAGGAAGAGTCTTATATAAGAATTAGTACAGATAAATCACTAGAAAAGGAAAGAAAGATACTTTCTTATAGATTTAACTATAGATAACTAGCTTATTGAGATGACTCCGGGATATAGTACCTATATTAATAGTTTTATCTATATAGATCAGTACCTCTATTAATCATAGATCACTACAACAATTGTCTAATTAAATAATCTTTTCCCATGGAAAAGATATTAATAATTAAGATATTCTAGATCTAATCGATACTTTAATATTATATATAGAGAGGAATTTCTCTATCTTTATATCTTATATAACTAATAAAAGACGTCTTCTAATAAAAGTATCTCTAGTAAACAGCCGCTCTTAAATTTCTTTTAAACTTAATCTATACTTGTCTTGTAAGGAAATAACAAGTAGAAGCACTAGTACACAGTACTTCTTAGAATTAATAGTCTTAATAATAAAGAGTTAGAACTAAATCAAAGTAATAGTATACTAATATCTATTCTAATACTCTCAGAATTATTATCAAAGATCTCGATGTTTAGCATCATTATGTAGATAATAGTAGTGGTAATATACCAGGTTTCTTGATACCTATAGTATCATAGGCTCCTTGCCAGCAGTATAATCAGAATAAATCGAACATTTCTTCCCTGGCTAAAAATAATCCTGTTAATTAACTCCATTCTCTCTATAGAGATAGATGTAATAAACTTACTATTTATAATATACAGATACCAGTTATAATGTAAGCCAACAGGACTGGAAATATAGAAGAATTTAGAATAGTTTAGATATATATTTATAGAAATGGGTACACCTTGAAGAGTACTTTTGGTCTTGTTAGAACTTTCTAGAAATAGATTATACTACCCCTAATTCAGTAAAAGGGGATATACAACTGAGATCCGTGTAGCAACTACTATAGTACTATATCAAGACTGGGATTCCCTAGATTAGTCAGGCAGAAACCTGGTCTAAACTGAGATGGCTGGATAAGCCCTGACTGAGGATAACTAGCCCTTTTATCTAATTTCTCTTATTTCTTTCCGATTACTTATAGACTCGCGAAGTCTATTTATCTATAGTTATAATCCTAGTAGTTATTTCTCTACTAATATTTATTGTGATTTACTCTAATATCTTAGCTTGGCTTAAATAGCTAGATCCTGTTTAGGCTTTGCTTTATCTCTTAGGACAGTCTAAAATCACTTTTACTATCTTATTTTAGGATTATAGCGCAGATTTGACTCCTAATAAAGCACTAAATAAAACTGATATTAATATATATTCAGGATATAGATAGGAACTTTTTGAGGGCTAGGAAGCTAAGCTGCAACTACCCAGGTTATATAGTACAGCCTGATATATATACATAGGATCCCTGGTGAAGTAACTTTCACTGTAATTATAGCTTAAAATCATCAGTATAGAATAGTAATCTAGGCCAAGATCTGCTTTTTTAGAACTGAGTTTAGTAGATATCTCTTCTCTACCAACTAAAATAGATTATAATATGTAAGTTTTGTTGATTACTGCGCAAGGGCCATAAGTTAGGTCAGATTATTAACTTACTAGGCAACTTAAACTTTAATTCAAAGACCATCTTAAGTAGTTCTATCTAATAGATTGTATTAATTATAGGAACCTAGCCACTTTTATCCTAAAATTCTGGTCTAGATAATAGAGTATATACTTATCAAAATTCGCGAATCTCCCGTTAAACAACTACTGAGATATATTTTTAAATACTCTTAAATAATTTATATATTCAATCTCTGAATTAGTCTATACAAAGTTAAATTCATATTAGTATTACTTATAGCTGTAATAATAGAGACTTGAATATACTAATATTATAGCTAGATTCTTTGCATCTCTCTTAAGGCTAAGACTGAGTCTAGGTCCTAGTTAATAATTTATTTAAATATCAAGATACAATCCTTATATTTTAGCTGTATTACCTCACGTCTATAAGTTGCCTCACGCCTATAATTACAGGTTGTAACATCCCCGAGGCATATTGTTAACTAACCATATACTGAGTACTTGATAAAGGAAAGTATAGTATAGCTGGGGCTTTAGTTTCTTAATATAAATCCATATTATAGATTATATAATTATACTATAATTTAAACAAATCTGTAAGATTACCAACTAATAATCTATAGACTGGATTTTTGTAATATATATGAAGCTAGACTATCTGATAAGATCTATTATTAATCCTTTGGCTTAATAATATTATAAAATAGAAGTAGAATTCGCAACTTGTCTACACAGCCTTGTATTTTGTACAGGGGAGAAATACTATATTTTACTTGGCTGGTTCATAGGAGTCGAGACCACTTCATCACCTAAGCCAAAGATATTAGTTCTAGTCTATACAGCTAATAATATAGTGGCTTTTGACGCTTGTCCTTCGCGCATTTGATTAGAGGTATTTTATACCTAGTAGTTCAATCCTAAGTCATGGTTCTAGATCTATTAGTATAATTATACACATTAGAGTGCCTTAATAGGCTGAAAAACTTATTCGCTAGCCGCCTTGAGTTCCAAGTTCAAGCACACTTTTCTACAGTATCATTCGTAGGAAGCCTAGATAAGATAAGATTAGGACAACATATCTACTATCTGCCCTTTCATATACTAATTCACTTAGTAAGGGTGCTTTGTATTTAATAAATACTGCATTATTAAATACTACTTATACTTATAAACTTGGCTGTAAATCCAAGATACTAATTATACTAGAGAAGCCTACTTGGTCAGATAAGCTTTTCTCAGCATGAAATATCAAGACTTTTGGGTTAGCTTCTGTAATTCCAGTTAGTAATATAATAGGAATAAGTTAGTAGTACCTAGAATAAATAATCTAATACTTATTTCTAAGTCTCTCAATTGTATTATTGCCTAGATTCTTTTAGAAGTGATTATAGAGGTAAAGTCTAGTATAGAACAGAATATCTAGAACAGAAGACTTAGACTAGACAAGAATTAAATCAGCTTAGTAGCCCTTTTCTATAAGATATTATATATTCTAGAAGTTTCTTGGCAAAGTCCAAAGTTCTGTTTTAATATTAATCACTGACTCCACCTTATCAATGCCCCGGAGTTAGTAGACTGTTTAAGATGGTTGATAATATATATACAATCACACCAGTATATATAATCACACTATTATTGAAAGTAAAGCAAGTATACAGCACACAGATAAAAGAGTATATATGCCTAATAATTCCTATTCTTACTTAATCTTATCTAGTCTTCTCAAAGCCTTCCTGTGCTATTATAATTCTTATAAGGATACTTTACAACATCTTCTCCTATACAGTGGCTATACTTTTTTATATTAAGTTTTCTAGTATTAATCTTGCCTTTACTATTATATTAATTATAGATTTCCTATGTTCCTTTGGTACTGCAGTACTGAAGACATTCCCATTTCTTAGGTATTTTTGTCAGAATTTTGATCTTGATAGGGATCTAGATACTGTTAGTATAGTATTTTAGCTACTCTTTCTTAAATAGATAGTAAACTAACTTGAGTTTATTACTTTAATATACTATTATCTTCTCTCGAATAATAGAGAATAAGAAATTACTCTAGATAAGTAGTAAAGAACTTGGTAGCTTAGGACTAAGATAAAAAGGAATAGATATCAGGGGACATATTCAAGTCTTTTATATACTTTCTTAGGTCACTACAATAAGTATAGACTAAGGAATATAATATCAGTATAAAGTAAATCTACTTAATTATTACCTTGGCATCTTTCTTTCAATTCTTATTTCCTAAATATATACAAGTATTCTCTGGATGATAGAGTCATAGCTATGACTAGATTATACTTTTAAACTACAATATAGCAGTAATTATTCTTAAACAAAGGCGATGACTATTAGGGTCAAGAATATTATATCTAGAGTAGTATAAAAAGACAATAAAGGACTGTCTTACAAGAGAAGAATTATCTAACTTGATGATTAGGTCACTTTAATACTTACTATTTATAATAGTGAATTAGTTGCGCAGCTATAGTAATGATTATTCCAAAGTATCTGAAAGACCTATCTAAGAATATATTTAATTAGATATTTTATTACAGTCTAACCTCTTCTTATGAGTTTAATGATAGAGCCGGCCCTAATATTTCTATAGAGATTACTCTTAGAGTATAGCATACAGAACTAGAGATTTTGACTCAATACTCCTAAGTAAAACTAGCCAGTAGTATCCTTTGCTAGTATACCACTAGTTATTTCTAAGGTTTGAGAAGGGTCATATTTACAAATCCTATAAGGGGGTAATAAAGTATATTAGATAACTACTATTATCTTATAAAACAGAGTTTATAAGCCAGTTACTTGTAATAGATATAAACCGAATCTGGTTTAACTTTAGAGGTATATCTTAATTATATATCATAAACTACTGCAAAGGCAATGATATAAATTATATTAATAAACACCTGAACCCGTAGGTATTAATAACTTGTTGTTACTCCAGCAAACTAGCAGCTAATTATATAATTTAGAAGCTATTTTCTTGCCTTATCTGAATTCATCTAAATCTATAGCTTCGGATGACTGAAAGTTGATGCAAATATACTGTAAATTATTAGTAGGCTGTATTATACAGATAAAAAGAATACAGATAGATGTATAAAGTAGTCTTTAATATAATAAATTATCTTCAAGGTTACTCTAGCTTTTAAGTGTCGGGTTAATATCTACCCAGGTAGATATTGACTAGGTAGACATTGACCTGATACTCAAAAGCTATCTCTAGATATTAATACCCACATCAGGTGACCGCGCAGGGGGCTGCTTAGTAGTGCCTTAGACTAAAAAGTGGGCTAGTGGTTTGCTACGAACCATGTATCTCTGTTAGGTATTATAGAAAACTCCTCCATCCCACTAATAATGCCTTGTCTTATTGTAAGTTGCGCAAAGCAAACATACTATATTCTGCTATATCTAAGGAGTTAGCTTGAAAATTATCCTCTGGCTTGGATAGATGTTAAAGTAAGCTATAAGATAACTATTAATATTTTAAAAGTAAATATAGACAACAAGTATCCTATATAATCTATATTACTAAAATCCTTTCTACACAGACAAAGTCATCACTCTATAATATTATCCAGACTATGACATTATTTTCCATCGCTTAAAGTAACAGAAAACTTACTATAGATAAACTTATAGAATTTCTTCTGAGAGTATAGTAGTAGAGAAGAGGCTAATATACTTCTATTTATAATAATAATAAAAACCTCGAGTCTATATTAGTTAAATATATATTAGAAATTCCTCTTTTATTAGAAGACTTCGGTCTGTAGATTTAGAAAATAATAAGAATTATAAGAATACTGGAAAAAGCAGCCTATATAATCCCAGTGTCTATAATTAAAGGCATACTCTAGATTCTTAATAGACTACTACTTATTCCAGGAACAGCTCCCTTCTACTTTAAAGATCAGGCTATTATCTCTGGCTCTCTTTACTATATACTTGCAAAGCCCCCCAGTACTAAAGTACTAAATAATCTAAAAGTAATACAGAGGCTTGATGAGAAATAGTAGAGTTAGTTATAGAAGGATTTACAAGGGGTGAATTATATTAATATAACTAATGCCTATCTACTATATAATAGTATATTAAAGATTGTCTTATGCTTCTAATATTACTTTGATAGACAGACTAAGTATCGTATTTATAGGATTAGTCGACATATCTGATTCAGATAAAGCTGATTAGTATTCAATATAACTATTTATATATATTAATCTAATATTCTAGGTCCTAGCTAAAGTTAGTAGAGGACTATTTATACTCCCTCTAGTACTATAGAGTGAAAACTAAGGGTTATATAAAGTAATTATATCATTAATTAATATAGTAGCTCTGAAATAATTACTAGTAATACTAACTCTATCTGCTTCGCCTGGATATTTAGGGAGGTGTAAGTAGGGTTTATCTGAAGTAAATATATCTTCTATAAAAGTAAGATCAAAGCCAAGGGAGGGACTATTATAATAGTCTAATAATTATACTAAATTAATATTAACCTGAGGCTCCTCAGTTTCCTGAGGGCTGGGTCTTGCTGCCTAATATAACACAGTATTATCTTTATAATAGTTTAGAATCGCAATCTAAGCCTTCTGTAAAGTTTTCTGAATAGTAAACTGTAGTAACATTTCCGTGTATGTATTTAAAGCTTCGGTTTTAATATAAGTCTACTTATAAAACTCGAATCTATGGCTAGTTAGTCTATAAAGATAAAAAAGATGGGGTTAAAGGATCTTTTTACTACTATATAAGTTAGTAAAAGTATTAATTTACTGTAAGTTAATCTATTCTACTTTCATCTAAATAATAAGTAGTGTAAAAGCCTTTTTCTTCTTGTATCTTAATTCTTCTTTAGATTATCCTACAGCTATAAATATATATCGACTAATACAGAGTTTAGAAAAGTAGAGTATCGACTATTATAGTTACTCTGTGTTTTCCTATAATATTTTTATACTTTTAGACTAGAAAGAAGCTGGCTCTGTCTCTTATAAACTTATTAAGATAAAGTTATAAGTAATATCTTATATCTTATTATATCAAGATCTTCTATATATTCTAGATTGTGGTAGTACTGTCAAATAATATCTTTATCCAGTGCTACTCCATCGCAAAATAACTAAGAGTATATAGTCTAAATCTTAGTATAAGCCTTAAGATATTCAATATCTATAAGAGCCTAGTTCTTTATAAGAGATATAAGGGCTTCTGCTTTATTAACAGAGAGCCTCTCTCCTTTTCACGAAATGAAGTTTAAAAACTATATTTAATACTCGGAAATTAAGGTATATAGTTTAGACTATCTTCTAAGTCTTTTAATAAGAGCCTGATAAAGAGATAACAACTAATTATCTAATTCTAAAATCTACTTGTAATAATCACTGACTGCCTATATCAGGCAGGTTAGCTATAAAAATAGTTATAAGGTAAGGATAACTCATATCATCTCCTACAGTATAAGTAAGAGCTATAAGCTCTGATATTTTATAGAAAATAGTCTACTTTAATTTATTTAAAGACTCTTTATTACTAGCCATGATCAGAAATAGGAATAATAAAGATTGAATAAGAAGACTATAGTTATACTAGTGGTCTCTGGATGGTCTTTTTAATCACTTGTATATGAAAGCGGGGTAAGGCTGCCTGGGTGGTTAATATCTTCTTGGGTAGATATTGACCACCCGAGCGCCTGCGCCTGTGCGCTGGAGCAGTCTAGAAATCTGACACAAACAATCCGGATCCGATGTGGTAAAATTAAATGACCCGCCAAGTCCTCTTACATCCTAGGGGCAGACTCCTTATGCTACTAAACATGTTTGGCGCTAGGAATATACTTGCCTGGATACTATATATCGGGGGTTTACAGAGACAAAGACTTTAGCTGTGTATTTAGAGCTGGCTTTGTCCAATTTATACTTTAAGATACAATATAGATAATTCCAAGATCTACTCTTGTTTTATTTCTATATAAGCTATATTTCTGTTTCTTATAGCTTAAGTATAGTATATATATGTCTGTCTATATACTTCAATATAATATTATTAAAATTAGAAAAGAAATATAAGATTCTACTCCCCGAAATTTGTCTCTGAAGTACAGCTGAATCAGTCCTAAAATTCTTCTAGATATTATACCTGAGTAATGAAGTTTTTAGTACTGAAACTTTTCAAAGAAAACTTAATCCTGATATTTAATTACTTATAAAGAATTATTAGGAATTTGGAGAAACTGGTATTTACAATAAGGATATTATATATATATTTAATAATTAATTGCTATATAATCATATTCAAAGTATATCTTAGTATCTTTTATAAGATATTCTACTTAAACTATCCTTTCTTACGTGGTACTTTGATACGCATAGCTTAGTCTCTACAGAGCTTTGCTACTTTCTTACCAACCCTATGGACAACTTTAATCTGGTTTTTGAAAATATTTAGCAGAGTCTAATTAATCACTCAGAATACTATAAGATAAAGCTAGAGTTTTTTTAGGAAATAATAACTCTTTTAAAAGAACTCAATACTACTTTTATATATAGGTGTAACGTGATTTATTTTCCTATATTAAAAGATAGAGATACTATTTACTTTCTATAGTCTCTATAAGCTTGATACTGGAGGACTGGGCTTGAAAGATTATAAAATCAAAGATAAATAATTTAAAGATATGTACCTAGTTTTTGTAAATATTTATAAACTAAGATAGGTAGACTTTATGCTAATATATTAAATCATATATATATATTATTTACTTCTCCCCTCTTAAGATTGTGGTATTTATTCCTCTTTCTTAAGTAGACAATTATAACCTCATCTTAGAGGGAGTATTTGCTAGTACTTATCTTATAAATTAATATAATATACTTGTTATGTATTGATAGCGCACTAAGTTTAATTGTTGTATAGTATTATTAAAGCATGAAATCCTAATCTTTCTCTATTTATACCTTGTATCGACTGAGGAATCTTAAAACTCTAAGTCCTGATCTTCTATCCTCTAAGCAGTAAAGATATAAGAAAGAAAAAGATAATCCTAATTAAAGTTCTAGTTAATCTTCTATTTTTAAAATATCAAATAGTCAAGATCAGAACCAGGACTTTTTTATACTTAATAACTATGTTTTTCTAAAACCACTAGAATTAATAAAAGCACCGCTATTAGAATAAATAGGGTCTCTAGATTTAATAACTTGATTAGTAAATTTTATTAGCTAGAGTATAACTCAAGATTCTTATATCAATCACCTGCTAGCTGAACTATTTATTTATAATCCAACCAAACCTCTCTCTCTAAAGCTTTTAGACGGACTGTCTTAGTATAAGAAAGATGATATTTCCTACCCTGTCCTACAATATCTTTCTGTAATTGCCAAAGTTTTCAAGGATATGCTTGGTTAAATAAAAGTAGGTCTTTATCTCTCTGGAATAAAAGTGACTGCTAAGAAGGTACTATAGAAAAGTAATATTTTAGATTAATCTGGTTAAATTTTTAATATTAGTCAGAATTTGGTTATCGACAAATTTCTCTATCTTAGACTATACTCAAATTATACTTGAGAGGCCTCTGTCAAAAATAGCGAGGGGTTCTCATGATTGAATTGATTGATGATAATGATATCCTTAGAATCAACGGGGCGGAACCACGAGATATCCGCTAAAGACGGAACCGTCTGGCAGAATCACCACCTTCTATACTGGAAGGTTATCGCCTCAGGCGATTCACTACATTTGCCGGTCTTTATAACCTTAGCGCCCTCGCTAAGTTATGTATATAATAAATAGCTAAGATAAATAATTAAAGACAGCAGATATTAGTCATTATAATAGTCATATATAGTATTCAGTGATGGTAACAACCTGGAAGGCATAATATATTTATAGAAGAAGGTAGAATAGACGTCAGGACTAATAGACTTTGTATTTCTTGATTAGCTTATCCGCAGCGATATTAGACGCGCGGATCTATATATTATCTTCAGAGCCATATCCCTTCCAGCGGACGAGATATTATAAAACAGGGGTTTGGTAGCAACCACAGAAGACTATTTACTTATTATAAATCTCAGATACTTCCCATCTATCTTTATTAGGGAAATACTCATCAACAACCTTGGGCAGCTTAGCAAGAATTCAACCAAAGAGATTAGGACCAGTAGGTACAGATTCCAACTGTACAATAGACACAACTGGGTAAATACACTATAAGTTGGGTAGTATAAGATAGTATATATATTATTCAACGGCTTTAATAACCTTGAATAGTTTAGTGTACTACTGAGACAACTTCTTCTTAGTATATCCTAGAACAGCAGAAAGTATATAGTCTTTATATAGATATAAATAAACTATATCATCAGGATAGAAACTAATCGGGATATGACAGGTATTATAGCTATACTTCATATATATAGCAGTATACTTGAGTACTTTCTCTATATTATATTAGATAGAGAAATCTTGATCAGCTATATTCATATATTTCTTCTACTTATTATAAGACGAAATGTTATGGCTGCTGGCGATGTTGACGGTGTTGAGAAGGATTCTGCCTTGTTGTTCCGCCTTGGGCGGATCTTAGCTAGTTCTCGCCCGTCCCGGGAATCTTCCGAGGAACAACTTAATGAACAGCTCCATAATGACTTTATAAGGGTCTTCCCTACAACCGACTTTGACAGTTGGTAGCATGTCCCGGGTTCCAGACACTGTGTGTGTTTCTACGGTCCTGCCTGGTAACTCCTGATTGCTTTTTATTACTTCTGTCTTTCGTTTGTTCGTCCTTTTATTATTACCATTGACTACGGGCACCCCTGGTCGACATACCCCTTCAGTCGGTCGCACCGTGGTTCTGCTGGTCGCCCGTTTTTCCGCCTTCCTCATTCGTCTCTTGTGGGTCACAAGACGTCATCGAGCCCTGCCCTCGTCATATGACTGGTCAGCCGAGCTGAGTCCCACATTCACCTCAAGCGTTTGGGTCGATCCTCACGTTCATCTTCCGCCATCGATAACCTTATTCGTTCAGAATAGCTTTATCAGTTTAGCTTTCCTGAACATCATGATTTCATCACTTTTGTGTCTTCAAGTGGCATATATAGTGTTATATTGTCATTGACTCTCATCTATTCCGAAGGGTGTCATCCTTATATTATTGGAGTTGGTACATCAACTCGCCCGTTTCTACGCGGAATCACCAAATATAAGATTGAAGAACTGCCTCGACAGTGATACTCTCCTCTGTGCTCATTATCTCACTTCTATAACCCATCCACCCGTGTTAGTAAGAACTCGAGCGTATCCCCAGTCCTGGGATATTGACAGATCAATTCTGTATAAGGATATAGCTAATTTTCTTGACCAGACCTTATACCTCCTCACTGACGAGCCTTATATCAGTTAGTGTGTTAATCCACGTTCCTGGTATATACCAACCAACTTCACTGAGCCCGACAGACCTCTTGGGCGTGTTTATTCCAGGTTAATGATATGATCTTCCTCATCCCAACCGCGGATACTGATATACACTCCTGGAGAAGAGCCGGTTACACCTGGACAAGGCTGTGGGGATCAGCTTCAGTTGCAAGCTGAGTTGTCTTCTTCTCAGACAGTTCA